CATTTAATAGTGAATATTCAACCTTGTACCATTTAATAGTGAATATTCAACCTTGTACCATTTAATAGTGAATATTCAACCTTGTACCATTTAATAGTGAATATTCAACCTTGTACCATTTAATAGTGAATATTCAACCTTGCACCATTTAATTGTGAATATTCAACCTTGTACCATTTGATAGTGAATATTGCCCATTTCTTATTTTTAGAAATTTTGAAAATTGTTTGATTGATCAAGGGCTATAAAAAGTTAGTTTTTGTGTGGACTATTGCAAATTTTCATCAGTGTTTCATTTTTGTCTATTATCTGTTAAAGGAATTGAGTCCTTGCCACAAACTCTGATACTTTCATCCATATATCTTTGCAGTCCAATGTTGTAACCCTTAGATACTTCAAACTTTGAATTCTGATGAAATAAACTGAATTTGAAATTTCAAAGGATTATACCATCAAATTACCAAGATAAAGGGATGAGAAAATTTGAGTATGTGGCAAAAAATCAGTTCATTTTTGACAGATTTTTATGATCCTTGCGTTTTTGAATTCAGTGTTTTAAGACGGGTTTTTAAACCAATATCAATATATTTCGAAAAAAAAATATTATTCATAAAAACGCCCTGCGCTAAATGAATTTGAAAGTCAGAATAAAAATAAACACAATTTTTATTTTTCAAAAAAGGTACTTTTAAAACGCGTGCTAAAATGATATGACCAGTTTTATCGAAAAAATACCAAATTACCATTGGACTGATGCTCCTAAAAGGGGGCGGGGGTCCAACGACCTCCCCACCCCCTCCACCTAATAGATTGCTTGGCATAATCTTCTCTTGAATAAGTGAGCTATTAGCATTTGATGTTTTTAAAAATTGTAATCAATTTGTTCCAGAAACAATTGTTTACTGTGCCTTCGAACAAACCAATTAGAAACATTTTTGACAAATATTTGTGAAATGTCGTGTAAGATTTTATGAACAATTGAAAGCCCTCTCTTTGATATTCTTTCATATATGATAATGGTGTACGCAGTATCGTACAATTATGTTCTTTTATGTAAATTCAATTGTTTGACTTTTGCAGAAACTTTTTACTGTATGTTTCAATATTTTAGCCAAACATATCTAAATTGTATACAGTTACATAGGTATATTTCAAAGTGGGTTTTATAGTTTCAATAAAAACTTTTCTGATTTTTTATGCACGAAAAATTTCAGTGTAAATCACAAAGTTATTATCATTTTCGGTCAACAAGCTGTTATGGAATCGAATCTATAAGAACCTTTAGATCTTAAAGGAATTTGATTAAAAGTATTCTGATGATCTAAAGAGAATTAGATCTAAAAGATGAATTTGATCTAGAAGTATTCTGATGATCTATAGAATTAGATCTAAAAGATGAATTTGATCTAGAAGTATTCTGATGATCTATAGTGAATTAGATCTAAAAGATGAAATTGATTTAAAATAATATGTTAGAATAGATATTAGTCTCCACTTAACCAAAAAAAAAATAGGAATTAATCTAAAATCGGTAGAATTTGATCTAAAAATATGTAATTTGATCTTAAAATGTATAATTTGATCTGAAAATATATAATTGGATTTGCAGAATTTGATTTCAAATATTTATTTTTCCAAATTTAAGATTTTTAATGGAGATTAACTTTTAAATTAGATTTTCCCACTGTATTTTTAAAAATATATAATTTGATCTAAAAAGTGAGAAGGGTTGAGGTTAGTGACTGATTTATTTCGTTGTATATAAATAAAAATTCCGGCACACACTTAATCGCATTTAATAAAACCCATTACCCAATACAATAACATAAATAGATATTTTCTACACCTGTTGGTGTTTTTCACTTGCAGGTTGGTTCCGCTTAATTGATTCAATCAATAATATGGTGAAAATATATCTCTAATGGTACAGGGTTACCCACAATGGAAAGAGTCTTCATAGACGATTGTGCGGAATTTGTTTAGTCCGTTTTCTTGCATTCAGAGCTCGAAATTTAAAAGAGTATCGTTGAACGTAACTCTCGAGTTTCCTTTTTGGGGTTGTAACATTTGTGTAGATTTTGATTTAAGAGATTAAAAAAAATGGAGAATATGAAGAAAATAAATAAAATAATATTTCACAACAAAAATATTGATATCCACAAAACTGCCTAACCCCATTTGCGAAACCCGGGTTTCAAAACTGGTTGTCATTACGATACCCTGTCTTAAGTTTTGGGCTCAGGGTTTTTTGTAGGCAAAACTGGTTTATTACTGTGCTTGACCATCAAAATTCAAAATATTCAATTAAATCCTTTGTGAGTAACCCTGAACAAACAAATTATTTTATATAATTCTAAAAACTGAGCAAGCTTTGTTCAAGTATTTTAATATTCAAATTGAAATCAATAATTGAAGTTTGAATCCTGAATAATTGATAATGGAAAAAGTTGAGTGCATACGATATACATATATGTTCATACAGGGTTATCCACAAAGGATGAGACTTCAGAGACGACTGTACAGAATTTATACTATTTCCTTATATTTATTATTCTCTGCAATCTTAAACTTGTTTCTTTCTTTGCCTTATCATTGAAGCCATATATTAATTGTATTCAAGGTAGAATACTTAATTTAACCTTGAAATAGTCAGATTTAAAGAGTTTCAAGTCGTCTTTACAATCTCATCCTTTATGGGTAACCCTGCATAAATATATTTATATAAAATAGGGCACATTGAATTAAGCATATATTTCCTAACAGAAAATACAATTTAAAACACTGAAAAAAATCGCTTAGAAAATTCTAGAAATGAGTAAAATTGAGAATTTTTTTTTACAATTTTCGAAACTGATATTTTTCAATGCCCCGCAAAATAAAATTGACTTTCACGTTACATTTAAATCTTAAATGAATTCATTCAAAATTAGAGGATTTACGAAGTCGCAACGTTGTACCTGTAAATCTTACCTTTCTGTCTATTTGGTTGTTTTACTGACACTGTTCAGCAATTTTTAAAACGTTTTCTTTTCGATGCAGAGACAGTTATTTCAAAACCTTTAAATTTGGGACAGTACCATGATCGCTGGGCCTTTGCTAGGGGTTCGACACTGATTAAAACATTAAAACATCAGAAACAAGAAAAATATCACACAAGCGTATTTGTAGTCAGCGATTTTTTATTTTGCTCCACCCTGAGGTCTCAAACCGTAAAGTAAAAAGAACAGATTACTCCCAGCTAAATAAACTAAAATATTTGCCCCGAAGTTTAATAAACGTTTATTTACAAAATAATCTATACAGAATTATCTAATTAATTATTAATTAACGGCAGTGTTAAATCTACGAACATAACATACAGATTACAAATTACAGAGCTTTCGATAGAAATAAGTTAATTCAATTTTAAAGAATAAAAAAATATTTTAATCCTAACAAAAAAATTAAGAAAAAGAATGTTAAAACATAAAGAATAAATGTCGTTAGATCAAAAATAATTCTAACTGATAAACTAAAATTGTGAATGATTGAGCTATATTGCATGTTAAGAACAAAAAACTTTTTATTAATAAAGAAGAGGAAAAGTGAAGAAATACATTTCCTAAAAATGGTCGCGTGGGGGGGGGGGGGTAGTAAGAAAATTTTAACTTTTCATGCTTTAATAAAATAAGAATTGACATCATTTGATTTTGTGTAGTTTTAATTTTTGTGAGATCAAACAATTATTAAATGTGATGGATAAAATTATAAATTCATAATAATAGGTATAAATACATGTACTAACAATTTTGATCTTAATTTAAGGTTTTTTTTCACGAGACTTGCAAAGATCAGTCTTCTACAATTCTTATTGTTTTGATAGTCAAACTAAATAATAAACCGTCTTTTAATGACAGCCTTGTCTAAAATAGTTTTAAAAGGAAAGTAGTAATTTTTAATAAATCTAGGTTAAAATCAAATCATGTTTTTATATATCATGCATCCATTTTCATTCATAGTTATAAACACTGAGCATTTTATGACAATGCTAATTAATCTTCATTTATTTGGATTTTACAAAGATTCCAGAGAAATTCTTTCGCGGTTTTCGACTTTCTCCTGACTCAGTCGGAATCAGACTTCTAGTAATATAAATCAATAAATTAGTAATAAATCATTTTCAGCGAAATAACGCTTATCTTCAAAACTTGATATTGATATCCACTGTGGTAACTATAAAACTCCCTTAACTTTAGATATCTCTGCTGTATTCTGATCATGCAGAGGCAATAATGGAATTAATGTATTACTACGGATTACTAAAGATTCAGATTGATCCAGAATTTACAACACAAGTTTTAACCCCGGCCTAAACACAAGTTTTAACCCTGGCCTAAACACAAGTTTTAACCCTGGCCTAAACACAAGTTTTAACCCCGGCCTAAACACAAGTTTTAACCCCGGCCTAAACACAAGTTTTAACCCCGGCCTAAACACAAGTTTTAACCCCGGCCTAAACACAAGTTTTAACCCCGGCCTAAACACAAAAAATCTACAAAAATTCTGAAAATTGTATTTGCGTATCTTAAGTTCTAAAAGAACTGAGGTATATCGCTAATTCTGAACGATTGATCTCGGTATCCAATGTTGGATTTAATAAATTAAGGATCAATGCTTGATCTCTAAATCAGAGTTATCCATGCAGGGTATGACCATCACGGGATATCCAAAATTAAATAAATTAATTCAAGGTCTGCATAAGATGGAGACCAATACTTGATCCCAAGATTTACAACACAAAAATTCAGGATTAAGAAAAATCAAATGATTTAAAAAGTTTCAAATCAAAAATTAATTGATTGATTGATTATTTCCTTATTCCAGCCCAGCGTAGATCATGATGAAGACCCCGACTCCGCATCAGATTCTAGAAATAATTAGATAATATTTAAGGTTAAATCAATAATTATTAATCCTGAGGCAGAATTTAAAGAATCTGAGCTGCGGCTAAATATGGTTGGTTCCACTTAAAATCGTATTAATATTTTAAGATTTAAGCCGGTGCTCAACTGAAACCAATTTTGGGAGGATTTGAGACGCGGCTAAAATTCATTAAATTTGAACTATGGTTATATAACATGCTTTACTAGGACAGATTATCCAACTTACAAATATTAGATTATTAATCCAACCAAAATTAACACGTTGGTTAAATCTAAATTGGTTGCGCTAACTGTGCAGTTAATTTTTTTGAACATTACACAAAAATAATCCGAAAAATATTTTAAAAAAATACCACACAGGAGAGTTGCACAAAAAATACTATTTTGTTCCAGACGCCGCTAATTAGACTTTTTTCGGTCTCACCCTGTATCTATCTATATATACATATATAACATTAAATAATTATAAATAATACCTGGAATTTGACCATAACTGTGAATACATGAGCAGAACCGATAACCCCGAACTCAAACAAATTCACTAAACAATTAAATCATTGCAAAAGATAAAAAAACTTTTATAACTTATCCAGTGTTCACTGTTCAGGGACCAGAATTAATGAAGAGGAAAAGAAGCTGAACTACGTAGATTAAGTTTCACCACTTGAGGTTGAACCGGAGTTACCTGGTTAAAATACTCCTCGAAATTTCATTTAATCTGGCCCAAGGACTGGACGGATTTTTATTTTAAGTTGGAACATTCTAATTTCATCCGCATATATTTATATATTTATAGCATGCAGACAGCGTAAAACCAATCATATACTTATGTTGACGGCAACTGTTCTATTTGGCGCAGGGGGGGGGNAACAACATGAGTATATATCATACGTAAATATCTATAATATATACAGGCGCGTATACAGGATTTTAGCCAGGGGGGGGGCAAGATTTCCCCTTGGAATAGTTTTGTTCAAAACGTCAATTAATGCCATAAAAATACATCAAACACACAAAATTTTTGGGTTTTACAAACTTTATAGAGCCTGAAAATAATATATTTGCTGGCAAAACTAACTTTAACGTTATCACTTAACTCCATCACAGCTAGACAGTGGCGCAACTAGTACTTTTGCGAGGGGGGGGGGCACGAAATTTTATTTTCAAGGGTTTGTGGGGGAGCCAGCCCCTCCGTGTCGAATTTTAAAAAATGAAAACGCTGTTTTAAGGGGTTGTAGTAGAAAAAAAAACGTTTTTTTTTTATGTTGCAGGTCTGGCTCTGTGCTCAATATAAACCATTTCTTATTTTATCCAATGGCTTGTTCTTGTGTTAAAATAAATTTAACCTCCAATATTGTACTGTTAAATGACCGGCATGAGCCAACTCGTTAAATGTGTGCGCGAAGCGCAAAAAATGTGTTCTTCTAGTGTTTTTTTTATGTATTTCGTAGTTTCTTAGTCATATTGACTGTGTGTATTAAGTCCATATTGCAGTCTACAGCAGATTTTTGTAATTCCTCTACTAATGCGAAATCGGGATCACTTATCCCCTAGTTGCGCCACTTTAGCAAACTGAATCATGAATCACGGCATCATTAAAAAATTCAATTTTCATTATAAAACGAAATTTCTTTGAAATCTTTAGATAGAATTTACTCCATGTTTACATTTACCAACTCATTTATACTTCAATTTTCTAGGGCTTACTTGCACAAACATTTCAATGATTTGTGTTAACAGGGAGTTTAGACTTAAACCTTTGTCATTGTCAGGTCTCACTTTTTAAACATAGTTTCCTTTATAGTTTGTATTTCCCGGGGGGGGGGGGGGGGCAAGAGGACTACTGTCCTTGTATACGGACCTGAATTTTTACTTATTTTGACAGCAACTGTTTTTTGGCGCGGGGGTTGGGTTTCATGTTGTCTAATATGAATATATGCGGATGGAATGGAGTTAGAAATGTTCCAACACAAAAGAGAAAATCCGCGAAACCATTCCAATCTGATACAAAATAGATGAAGTGGCAAGTGCTTTTCTCCATCATGTCTTGGGCTAGCACCACTAGAAACGACTATCTTTCCGAATCTACTATCATTCAAGAATTCAATACAGAAATATATTTATGTCTTGAATTATAGATAAAATTGTAAATTTTAGCATGGAGCACAACATTTAAAACAGAGCATATATTTATAGCGGTCAACAAAAACCAATAATATATACTTTTGTTCACAGCAACTGTTTTTTTTTGGAGCCCTAAAAGCCTTATATATATATATATATTTATATATATATATTTGTTGTAAGAGTTGTTCAAAGAATTGTAACTACTGAGGATCGTCATGATAGACGTGAAACATTATGTTTAGTATAATTCATTTTTAATAAAAAATGTGAAGTTAAAAACTGAAATATATATATATAGTATTTTCAACCTTTTTTAGTTTAAATATACATTTTAGATGTTTAAATATATATATATAAAATTCAGAGATGGTGATGGACCAAACCTCTGTAGAGTAAAAATAGTAGATGTTAGTTCCACATTTTATTGAAAATATATTTCGGTCTGTTATAATGATACAGCTATCAAAATCGATAGAAAAATTATAAAAAAAACCACAAGAAGATAAACAAACAAAAAAGATGGGCTGCCAGATGGACAAAAGGGAAACGAAATCAGATCATGAGATGGATAAAAGATAATTTGCAAATATTCACTTTTAAAGAATGTTTAAGACAATTTTTATTCCTTTTAGATTGTTTCTGTCAGGAAGATTAAGAGTAAAATTTTAGATGTATGTATATAAAATGGTGGCGGAAGCCGATCAAATTAACGTAAATCGGGGGAGGGGGGGGCGGCGGCTTATTTAAGGAAGGGTATTTAAACCTTTTAAAGAATTGGACATAAACGGTCTACATTTAATTAAAACCTATTTTTTCTGTTCAATTCTCTGAGTTCAGTCATAAAATCATTTCTAATGTATTCAGATTCTCGTACTTCAAGTAAAATTCACTCAAGGTCCCAAACCTTCTTTAGCACGCTAACTGAGTTCATGTCCAGGAAGGTTAAAATGTTCTCCTGTAGGCTGGTTTGTATGGGGATTTCTATGTAACCAATATGTTCTCTCACTCTTTCAGCTAAAGATCTTGTTGTCTGTCCTATATATTGTAGTTAACACTGCTCACATGTAATACAGTAAGCTATATTTCTGGTCTCACAGTTGAAGTTCCATTAATCTCAATCTTCTTGCTGGTATTAGAGGATTGTATAACTGTTCCAGGCTCTATGTAGGGACAAGTTGGGCAATTTAAACCACAAGGTTTCATACCAGGTATTAGCCTCTTTGGCCTCATTCTAGGAGGATCTGGAATTCTGGCTAGGAATAGTTTATCCCTGAGATTAGGAGGTCTCCTGTAGGTAACCAAAGGTGGATTTTGAAAAACCTCCTTCATCCAAGGATCCTGGGCCATGGTTCTCCAATGTTTCTGTATGATAGAGGAGATACAAGGCAGTTGAGGATTGGGTTCTCTTTTTTCTCCCCTTTCTTTAAATCAACTTTTCTCGGTATGCTTTAGCTTGGACTACAGTAGAGTCCACAATTGATGAATTATATATATATAATATATATTTAGGGAACAGACGAGAGGGAGGGGCGAGAGCCCCGGCTAGGTCAGACTTGGCCGGGAAGATGCTATTTGGAAAATTGCATACTTGGGAAGTTGCCACTTTGGGAAAGTACGTAACATCTATACTTAATACTTATATATACTTTGCTTGTCTGTCTGTTTGTTTGTTTTTGTATCCAAGAAACGTTAAAACGGCAGAACCGATTGGGCTCAAATTTTGTGTGGGACCTCAAGTGGCCCCAGGGAAGATTAATGAATGATCAAATTTTTTTTTTATTTAATCCGCGAACTATTTTGGCTTTGTTTTACAATATACACAACGATGGGCGCGAAGCGCCTTAAAAGCCTATTATAAATACATATGTTTGAGTAATTGTGTTTTACTTGGTACAAATACATAGTAAATCCTTTCATTTTCCTGGATAAATATGTATCTATGTAGTCTGGCGTATGATTAATATTAAATAAGAAAATGTTGTATTTCCCCTGAGCTATAAAAAAAATAATTTCCAATAGTTTATGGACGAATTAAAAAAACATTTCTTCCAAATGAAGCGATACAATACAAAGAACTTTCAAAACTTATTTAGGAAAATATTTTAGATATAAACTAAATGTATTCCTTCACTTTTATTCCAAAATTATTTTATTTTATAAAATGCTCAAAAAAACAATGCAACATCTAACATCTAACATCTAACATCTAACATCTAACATCTAACATCTAACATCTAACATCTAACATCTAACATCTAACATCTAACATCTAACATCTAACATCTAACATCTAACATCTAACATCTAACATCTAACATCTAACATCTAACATCTAACATCTAACATCTAACATCTAACATCTAACATCTAACATCTAACATCTAACATCTAACATCTAACATCTAACATCTAACATCTAACATCTAACATCTAACATCTAACATCTAACATCTAACATCTAACATCTAACATCTAACATCTAACATCTAACATCTAACATCTAACATCTAACATCTAACATCTAACATCTAACATCTAACATCTAACATCTAACATCTAACATCTAACATCTAACAATTAACATCTAACATCTAACATCTAACATCTAACAATTAACATCTAACATCTAACATCTAACATCTAACAATTAACATCTAACATCTAACATCTAACATCTAACAATTAACATCTAACATCTAACATCTAACATCTAACAATTAACATCTAACATCTAACATCTAACATCTAACATATAACCATAATTTATCTGAATTAAAGCGAGTTCTTTGTTAAAATAAAGAACTTCGGATCGGATTAGGTTTATTTTGGATTTATCAAAAAATGTCAATATAGATAATTTAAACTAATCATAAACTTATTTTATTTATCAAAAAGTTTCGCAATTTCTTAAAATATTCCCGTTAAATTGTATACATTTCATAAAAGATTACACTAATATCCTTGAAAATTCATGAAAAAGAGGAAAAATTAATTTATTTATTTTGTGCATTTAATTAAATCTACAACAAAATAAAAAAATATTGAATAGTTTGACAAATTAAATTAACCATATTTCAAATATGTAAGATCATAATCAACGCAAGAAAGTTAAGTTCCTTAATTGTTTCCTAAATTAAATTTAAATTTACTACTTTTAATTTATAGTTTCTATACAAATTATTATCAGTTGATAGAGTGTAGTTTGACTAAATATGATTATAAATTTATAAGTGTGGAGAGTGAAGACTTATTAGATAATATATTAAGAAAGAGGCGGTGTATGGGAAAGGAGGGGGAAGGAGNGGGGGGGGGAAGTCCCTCTCCCTAGAAGAATTAAGAGCACTAAAAGAGAGACAAGGCACATTCTATACCTTTAATTTTGATTTTAAGAATAGATTCAAAAATATTTGCATGCGGTGCCACTTAGTTACTCTAAATGAAGATTTTTAATAAAAGTCCAAATCCCCCTTTCATCCCTTGCTGGTCATGGTTTGGACCAAATTCCCTGTAAAAATCCAAGAGGGGGGGGACGTTTTTTTCCGGGGGGAGGATTAAAAAGTTCGGCGCGCTTTGCGCGCAATAATTCAATTATTACCCCCCCCCCCTTCTAGAAAATATCATAAGCTGCCCCTGACATAATTTAAACCTAGAAAACGACATTATCTTCTACATTCTTGATCCGGTTTCAATGGTACCGTTGTGAATTGGGAATTGTCATCTTTGCATGGAAGGTCACTTGAAATTACGCTTACAGTCCCTTTAAGGCTGCAAAGATATAAGAATAATAAAATCAAAGTTTATGCCAGGAGTTCAGTTTCTCTGTATTTGAACTGTACTATTGTACTATTTGAAAATGATAAAAATAAGATTAATAATTGATAATGTTTGAGTTAAAATAGACGCTAACATATACTTACTAAATATCTGGGGACACTAGTATATCATCAAAAATTCATCAAGTAGTATCAATAAAAATTAAAATATCAGTTAAGATATTAAGAAATAAATAAGGTAAAAGAAAGTTTTTAGGGCGCTCCGGGTGCATCCGCTCTTTTAATTTTTTATCATGGCTATATCTTTGAGCATCTCCTCTTTGTGTAAAACAGTAACAAAAAAATTTCGTGGATTTTCAAATATTTGTTCGTGCATTTTTTTAAAAACAAAAATCAAAAGCTTTTAATGTAACTTTTTGTAATTCTGAGCATCCATAAACCTTCCCACACAAAATTGGGCTCGATCTGTAAAGCCGTTTAGACGTTTATTGGATACAAACAGACACACAGAAAGATTGACAAGCACAAACAGACAGACAAACAGACAAGCAAAGTATATTTATATAGATACTTTGAAATGTTTAAAGTTTGTTTTCACTGAAAATAACAAAAAAATTAAAAATATTCGGTATCTTTACGAACTTGGATTTTATTCCGATTAAGTTAGTAACTAACCAAGGTGAAGCATGAAGTTTCTAAACAGTCCCTTCTGCACAATAGACTGAGCGCGCTCATCAATAAATATTTTAAGCGCTTGCGGCATCTGCACATCACCAACAAACCTAAAATAAGATGGTTAGCAAGGTTTTCTATAGTTGAGACTGATTTGTTTTCATAGAACTAGATAGGATCGAGATCAGTACTTTTTGCATGGTATGTTCTTTTCCATTTTTTAGCTAAAAAAAAAATCAGTCTAAAAAACCAAAATATTATGCAAATCATAGTTTAAAAAAAATACTAGTTAGTACAGAGCATCCCTTATAATAATAGATTTCCACGCTTAAATGCCAAAATAAACACATAATTTAATCGAAAATTTTCTGCACCACATTTTTCAAATTAACTTAATTAAATTTTAAAAAATGATTCATTATTTTTAAATTTTCCGAATGGTCCCGAAATTCGTAATTCAGACCCATTGAAGATCTAATATGATGTATATTCACCTATACATTAAACCCCGACCAATCTGAAGTCAGGATTTAAAATAAGTTTTAACCGATGCTTCCTACTTAATCCTCATATAATATGATAATCTTATGAGGAAAAAAACAACAGTTGAAACAGATTGAAATCTCTAACCAATTAATTAATTTTATTATTTAGAACATTGAATTCAGAATTCTAAGATAATAAACTTTTTATGCCATTAAGTCTTTTATCCTCTAAACTAATGAAACTTTAATAACTTTAAATCGAACGTGAAAAAACTTTATTCCAGCTTCGATATTTTCCCAAGAAATAACGAAATGGCGATTATAGTTTGTTTAATTTTGACCGTAATGCCAGTTAGTGATACGATTTACGACAGCTCCCAAAAAAATGAACTGAAATTCGGAATATGTGTTCCATGCTAGAAAGATTCCCAACTAACATTCTATATCATAATCCGCAACACTTAAAAATGTCAAGATATGTCATTATTGATACTTAGACAGAGTTGTTAACAAGGATCAATTGAAAATATGTTAACAATCCCTTTAAAGAGAACACTCACGTGTATTTCTGAACATGATTGTTCCAGATCTTCATAAACTCCTTCTCCCCCTCGTTCACGTCGGTGAAATCATCAATCATCCTGCTCGTCTTGATCTGCAGCCATTCAGGGTCAGTTCTATATATATACATCATAGATAGATAATTAGATAGTTAGATAGATTATATTCAGGGTCAGTTCTATATATACATCATAGATAGATAATAAGATAGATAGATTTGTTTCCGAACAAGATGAAGGATTAAAAGTTTCATCTCTTTTATTTTTATCTATATTACTGTACTGCAGTTTAAGTGCACAGATATCCCCCCCCTTCATGTTAAACTCAAGCCAGTTTTTTGATGACAAACAAGTGTAGGAAAAAGATTAATATTTAAATTCGAAAAATTGAAATTAAGTTTTCGATGATTGGATCATAATTTTTAAATCTTGAATTTTTTTGTTACTGTTAAATATTAAAAACTTATTCAAATCAGTTGAATCTGATTCATTCAATTCTCTGAAACTCAAACCAGTAAATTATTTTGATACTGCAATCAAATTGTCTTTCTTTGTTAAACTTGGAAAAAAATTTGATAAAAGTACAAACAAAAACATGTGGATGATAAACAGGGTAAATATTTCCCTTAAAATATGTTTATCAAATCAAGGTTTAATAAAACCCATGTTAACAATAAAGAGTTGAGGGGTTCAGTTATAACCATGGTTTTAAACTGGATTTTGTCATTATCAGCAGGGGCGGATATAAGGATTCTGTAGGGGGGGTAAATATTTTTAATTTGGCGCGCGAAGCNTTTATTATGACGAGTTGTGTGTGAGTGAACTTTGCTGAAGTAACCGAACTAAAAGTTTAAGCATCTGCAAAATGCCGCAAAAACTTTTACTATCATGAAAATAGTCGTCTTTACACAAGTGCAGACTAATCAATAGGGAATGTATTTTTTTTTGAAGGGAAGGGGTCAAGGCAACTGGAACTGTTACTTGTAGAGGCAGCAAATGGAGTAACCCCTGCTATTCAGGGCCTGAAAATATGTTCAGGGGTAATTACCCCTAGAATTCTAGGGGGGGGTATTTAACCCCAGGATTCTAGGGGGGGGTATTTACCCCCAGGATTCTAGGGGGGGGTATTTACCCCCAGGATTCTAGGGGGGGGTAAATAACCCCAATAACCCTCCTTATATACGCCACTGATTATCAGTGCTAGTAAATTAATTTTAAAAGAATAAAATAATGGTGTTCGTTTAGGGAAGTGTATGGAGATTAACCTTGGACGGTAAAAACGTCATACTTCCAAACATAGAACTCGTACAAACGTTGTATAAGTCCATCGTTCTTGGGTACGACGTTTGTTCTAGTACCTTATTGGGTACTGTACATATGTAAATTTCTGGATATTAGATACTGGATACTGGATACTAGATATTGAAAACTGGATCCTGGATACTAGATATTGGATACTATATACTGGATACAAGATACTGAAAACTAGATCCTGGATACTAGATACAATTTACTGGATACTTGACACTGTGAACTGGATACTAGATAAAATATCAGGGATATTAGATACTAGATAAAAGATACTGGACAGAAGATACTCTAAACTGAAAACTGGATACTAAATATTTGATAATGAATACTGGATAAAGGATATTGATTACTGGATACTAGATACTAAATACTGGATACTGGATATTGAATAATAGATACTGGATACTAGATCCTGGATACTCGATATTAAAAAAAAGCTAGATACTAGTTACTGAATATTAGAAACGGTAAACTTTAAACTGTAAAACATACCTGTCCTCTTCCTCTAAATCTTGATTGTTTATAATAGCGTGAGGAGGTATAGGCAGCGAGGTAGTACTAAATAATAGTAGTAATAGTAAGTAATAGTAATAGTAATAGTAATTGTAATTGTAAAAGTAATAGTAATAGCAAAAATAATAATATTAATAATAAAAAGGAATGTTGATCAGAAAAAAATAATAATAATCTGTAAAGATAATAAAAAAATTATAATTATGATAATATAATTGATCCTGGCTAATAATAATTGCCAAATCAAATAATAACCTGTCATGATAAAGTCTATTATGACCCGACACAAAAGGGCGTTGGTTCTCAAAAGTTCCATTTTCATTATCCTAAAAAGTTTTATATTAACATTTAACAAAGGTGAGAAACATAAAGTTTGCTCAAAGTAAAAAAACCAGTTTATAAGAAAATGATTTAAATCCGATTAATGATAAATAAATTAAACAGCAACACGAATAAATAAATAAATAAAGAAAAAAGTCAAAAATGAATTTAATCTACTGAATATATGAATATATGAATATATGAATATATGAATAAATGACTAAATGACCAAATGACTAAATTATTAAATGAGAAAAATTTCTAATTGCATGAATATATAAATAGATGACTTTATATGACTAAATGACTAAATGAATAAATAAACGAATAAATGAAGAAATAGGAGAATACAAGAATGAATAAAATAATAAATACCAGGATTAATATTAGGAAGGATCAATATTTGAATGAATGAATGAAAGGATGAATGTCCCAATGAATGAATGAAAAGTTAACCTCTAGTTCTAAGAACTCCGAGAGGCTCGGGGGAGAACGCTTGGGTCGAAAAACCAGAATGATTGTGATAGATGTTCTCTGTACTGGACCATTCCTAAAATCCATATTTAAACGCCAATAATAAAATTAACTAATACTTCATCATCATATCGGGCTCATTTTTGCATTGTAACTCATGGCTGGTCGAAGTTTTTGCACTTAAAAAAATGTGGATTTTTTGTTGTTAAAATCCATCAATGTAACCAAAAAAAAAACTGTTAAAAGTTTTATGAAGTATGAAGAAAAACTTGAAAGGCAACTTTTAAAAGCCTAAATTGGTATTAGAAATAAAAGCCATAATAGCTCTATTAATTATATTTTTGTCGAAATAAATCAAAGAGATGTGACCAAAAAAAAGATGCAGCAAATAAAGTTTTGGAAAATAAATTTCTTTGAAAACTGAATCTCTTCTAACAAACTTGTTACGCAAACACTATAAATGTTTTGTCCTAGTACATCTATATTATATACAAACAAATATTGTTATAAACGCGATCGTTGTGAAGCATATTTGGTTCAGTGTAATTAATTCTTTTGTCAATTTTTTTCATTAAATAAAACAATCGACATGCGAACAAAATGTTCAAGGGAAAATGGTGAAAATAGAAAAAAGACAAAAATCAATAATTTAATCTGTAAAATATCTATTTTTTCTTTTCATCTATTAAATTCTATTTAGTGCAGTTTTTAACAGTAAATTTTATTGCCCCATCATCAGATTTAAATAAAATAAATTTCTTGGGAATTTATTGAAAAACGTAAAAAAAATTCAATAACAGAAGAATCCGATTATAATGTATTTAGAAATTATTCAAGCGGCGCCAAAAAGGTATATTCTTAATCGTGGTTTCGGTCAGACCCAAAGCTAGGGGGCGAACACAGGGGTACGAGCCGGGTGCCCACCCCCTTTACTCTAGAAAGAGGCACGGTAACTAACCTAGAGAAAGCGTATTTAAAGGGTCTCTAACCTTAAGAAAACGTATTTTAAGGGTAAGTAACCTAGGGAAAGATATTAAGGGTAACTAACCTAAATAAAGAGTATATAACGGGTAACTAACCTAGAGAAAGCTTATTTTAAGTTTAACTGACCTAGAAAAAAACATGTGTTAAGGGAAACTAACCTAGAGAAAGCGTATTGAACGAGTAACTAACCTAGAGAAAGCGTATCGAACGAGTAACTAACCTAGAGAAAGCGTATTTAAAGAGTAACTAACCTAGAAAAAGCGTACATAGTGAGTGACTAAACTAAAGAAATCGTATATAAGGGTAACTAACCTAGAGAAATCGTACATAAAGGTTAACTAACCTATTCCAAGAGTTTTTAAAAGATAGCTAACCTAGAGAAAGCATACATACAGGGTAACTAACCTAGAGAAATCGTAAAAAGGTAACTAACCTAGAGAAAGTGTATTTAAAGGGTAACTAACTTAGAGAAAGCGTATTTAAAGAGGAACTAACCTAGAAAAAGCGTATTTAAAGAGTAACTAACCTAGAAAAAGCGTATTTAAAGAGGAACTAACCTAGAGAAAGAGTATTTAAAGAGGAACTAACCTAGAAAAAGCGTATCTAAAGAGTAACTAACCTCGAAAAAGCGTATTTAAAGAGTAACTAACCTAGAGAAAGCGTATCCCGGAGGTTGACTAATCATATCGTGAGGGTTTCCAACATAAGTTGAGTCAAATAGGTCTGAAACTGAAACGTCTATTCGAGCAGCGTCTGGCAACGGCTTAAAACAAATATCATGAACAGATACAGATACAGGTACGGATACAGATACAGAAAGATACAGATACAGATGGATACAGATGCTGATACAGATACAGATATGGGTACAGATATGGATATAGATACGATTACAGATACAGAAAGATACATATATGGATGGATACAAATACGGATGGATGCTGATACAGATACAGATATGAGTACAGATACGGATACAGATAAGGATACAGATACAGTTACAGTTACAGTTACAGTTACAGTTACAGTTACAGTTACAGTTACAGTTACAGTTACAGATACAGTTAGTTACAGATACAGTTACAGATACAGTTACAGTTACAGTTCCAGATACAGATACAGATAAAAATCCATTCTTGGTCAATGAGTTAATCATAAGATTTTGTAGCAAGTTGCATCTTATAAGAACTAAGATACTGCTTGTGGGAGTTTTGATGAACTAAGATATTGTTTGTGGCAACTTTAAAGTATCAAGATATTAAAAGAACTAAGATGATGTTTGTGGTAGCTTTGAAGAGCTAAGATACTGTTTGTGACAGCTTTGTTGAACTAAGATACTATTTGTTGTAGTTTTGAAGAACTAAGGTACTGTTTTTGGCCGCTTTGATCAACTAAAATACTGTTTGTGGCAGCTCTTATGAACTTAAGATACCATTTGTGGAAGACTTTAAGGACTGAGAAATTATTTAAGGAAGATTTTAAGAAAACTGAATTTGTCTTGTGTTTCATGTTGAGAATGGACAAAATGAATATATTCTGATAATCTTTTCATTTACAAACATTGTATGAATTGTAGCTTGTATTGATTTATAATGGATTAAACTTATAATTACTTTTCCCGTTCATATATTTATCTTTGAGGCATAAGACATAAGACAAATTTAGGCTGGCTCTTCGAAATTGGTCACAAAATAGGTATTGAATCTATTTTCTGTCCCTACTTCTTGTCACTGTTAACTACAACAGTGTAGCCCAGTGTTAAGCGGCTACAAAAGCAGTCCACCAGCTTCATTATGACCTCATAACGCCTGACTTTAAATGGATCCTGTAAACCCGCAATATATTAAAAATGTCTTTTTTTACACAAAATTATAATGGATTCAGTATAATCTGAATATATGAATAGATTCTAACAACCTATATGAAAAGATGTGGGGGCGTCGGCAGCCTACCAAAGCATTTGTTTGGTCTCTGATTCGTGTTTAAAATACCTATTTAAAGAGTTTTCACGAAAAATACAAGTTATCAGGCAGATTTCAGAACTTCAACAAAACATTACTATGGCTCAGAGATTTATCTCAAAAAAATTACTCAAGCAACCGAGCCTTATTTGACTTGAATAAACGGTCTATGTTGCTGATGAGAGAGTTTAAGATGTTTGAGTAAAGAAACAAGGAATACACAGTTTAAACCACACCAAGGACAATGCAGATCCTCTCGGGCCTAATTAATAAATCTATATAATAAAACAAGACATTTAGGCAAAAAAATTTTAAATTATTGTTTTCAACATTTTTTTCCCCGGGTAACGTCGGGCCCTTCAGCTGGTTTTATATATTACAGGTCAGTGATTAGGATTCATTTCCATTTGACGCTCATCCAGTATTACAATTTTTTTGATAGTTCAGATTAAGGTGGTTAAGAGTAAAAAGTTTTTTTTTAACAGTTCAGATTAAGGGGTTAAAGGTAAATTTTTTTTTACAGTCTTTGATATATATTTTTCCCCTTTTTGATTCGGATCCGGATCCAGTAAGCCAAAATGTCGTGGATTCAACGGATTATAGTAAAACAAGTCAATTGTAGGCAGACTCACACTCCAAATTGTAAAAGTCAAACAAGTCTTCGCAAAAAAGATCCACTTATACAAAATACGATTAAGTGAAAGTAGTAGTTCGAAAAAAATGGGATGGATAAAAACATTTAATAAACAATGATAATTATTAATTAAGGCCGGGCTCTCTGGAATACATGACAAGGCAGTCCCAATACGCCACAGTATTTTGTAAAAAAAAACTTTCTTTACTTCCGGTCACTGTTGTTAGAAATATCCATGATATGTATTGTAGTCCATGTTGATATAATTTTAATATTAATAAGCAGTGCTTTGGATCCGCATCTATTGGATCTGCAACATTTTGGCTTAATCACATATCTTAACTATATCAGCTAATAAGAAATCAACAAAAACATCTTAATCAGTGAATGGATCAGCATAAAAATAGGCGGAAAAAGAAAATTTTTAAAACTTTATTGATTTGTTAAAACAATCAGTAAATCTTAGCATTTGTTCAGGACCGGATTCTTTATTTTTCAGGGCGGATCCCATTTTCACAACATCGCAATTTGGTATTATGAGGAAACCTTCTTTTATAAAATGATATTTTGCTATGAGTGCAGATAAATCTTGCTATTAAATATTTATTAAGTGAAAATAGTAATGAATTAATTACCTCAGTTAGTTGCCTAGAATTGTTGTTGTAGAGGAACTGATAAACTATTCTTGGTGCTTTTTCTATCTTTCCTTCATCTTTCTTCTCCTTCTTCTTCACCTGTCAAATATAAGAAATACTATGAAGTCTGGTTAGCATGTCTGTCTGTCTCTGTTATTTCGTTCTGCTTTTCTCAAACTTCATATTTCTCCGACATAATATGTAATATAGTATACAAGTTGTTATTTTTACCAACAATCAAACTCTAGACCATGCACCATAATAATACAATGAAAACACGGTCTAAATGGGATTCAGTGGTTCAGATTTGACCTGATTTTTTAAGGATTCAGTGTATATGCCAAAAATGCTTAGATACTTAAAAATTATGCTGCAAAAACATATTCAGAGATGGAATTTAAAGATTTGAGCCGCGCGGCGGTTTAAATCTGCCTAAACCCGGTTTAAATTAAGCGCCGGCTTAAATCTTGAAACATTTGATAGAATTTTAAGTGGAACCACGCATATTTAAGCCGCGGCTTAAATTTAAACCGCCGCTAAAATTCTTTAAATTCGGCCAAAGATGCAGTCCACAGACAGAATGGTTTGACAAATATGATTTCACATAGGAGTTCAACATTATATTCAAGTACTGAAGTAAAATTGATATTAAATAAAACTTAATATAAAGCGGTTTGAATTAAGTTATTGAATTTTTTATTTTCGGGAAATATACAAAATAGGTCTTCTGCTTTCAGTAAAAACACAAAAAAACAGGCTTTTAATAATTTAATTCATGTAAATTTTCCAAATCGCATGAAGCAGGAAATAATATTACATAAAATAAGAAAATGCTTTTTTAGGAAACTTAATGGCGTGAACGTGTTCAGAAAACGAAACCATAAAATACTTGAGATAAAAGGTTTTCTCATGAATAGAAATGCATTCTATTATTATCTAACCAGAGGCGTATTTAGGGGTCA